GTATTTAATATTCTTCTTCTTTTAAATTTACGTTGTTGTTGATTTTTAAAGTTACGCTTTTATTCACTATAGATATGGAAAGAAATTCAAGAGAATAGAAATTTTAAAAACACAGATAAGTATAGCGTTTCAAATGTATTAGCAGAATTAAAAAGTGAAAACGAACGGTAATAATAATAATCGGGAATAAGAATAATTATCGTTCGTTTTTACTTTTTAATTCTGAGAATTTCGAATGTATTCTAATGCATTTTAATTTTAAAATATCTTTGTAAATACAACTCATACGCTGATAATTTTTTTACAGTCGGCTTGTGTGATAATGAGTCTGGATATATATTTACTTTGTCGTATTTATTGTAGTTTTTTTAGTTTTAGCCGGACACACACACACACACACACACACACACACACACACAGGAGCCTACTGCCCTTATATATATATATATATATATATATATATATATATATATATATATATATATGTAGGTAACTATACTCGTCACGAAAAATTTCGAATTTTGATTTGCTAATAATCAAATCAATCTCGAAGGAAAAAAGGTTTTAAAAAAGAAAGAGCTAGAAACATGAAAGTCTGTCGAAAAAAATCACAGAAACAGGTTTGAAGCCCAAAGGAAAAAAAACCGACACGAGTAAACAACTAACTAAAAAGAGCTCGATACAACCGTAGAGCAGACCTAGATAAACCTAGTGAGCCAGACAAACCTACCCAGGTTTCACCTAAGCGGATCGTCAGGGAAAGCTGGCTAAAAAGTCCAAAGAGAAACGGCATATTTATAGGCGATAAACAAAACTATACCACGTGACCAAATAAAAAAGGAAGAAAAGGAGAAAGAAAGAATAGAAAAAACAAGACAAGAAAAAACAACACAACACCGGGGGAGGGGTTATGATTTATTCAAACGACTAAAAAGGGAAGGGATATTTTAAGAAAACACGTACAATAAATGTGTGTTGTTTGTCTGGCTTACTAGGTTTGACTATATATATATATATATATATATATATATATATATATATATATATATATATATATATATATATATATATATATAGCATTCATATAAAATACACATTTTATTGTAACCTAATTATGTACAATAATGGATCATATGTAATATAGGTGAACAATTCAACTAGAAAAAATGAAAATAAATACAATATATCTAAATACAAATTAGAGACATGTCATAATAGATAATTCCATCTTAAATAAATCAACAATGTTTTACGGCAATTTTTAATATCAACTTGAGAAGATGAATATTTTTACACATTCAACATTATGAATTAAAAAAATGTGAATTTCATATTGTGCTTTTTCGAGACTTAGTATAATCAAATCTATTCAGGACTTCATCATAATCGTGGGATTAAGAACTTTCATTTTCAATGGAAATTATTACTAATCCGGATAACATTTTATCTCTTATTGTAGATCGCAGATAATGTTTTATAAGCTTTTAGTCTGCTAAAACTTCTTTCGGCACATGCAAAAATCACTGGGGTAGTTCTCAAGTTCAGGAAATTGTCTACTGATGCTGTCATTTGTTTTTTCTCTTTTCGTTTCTCTCATCCACTTTTTTATCGTTACAAGCCTGTAAGATACCATTGGAAATTTAATAGTAATTTGTATTAGTTCTAAATTCTTAAACTTCTTTTTATATAAAGTTTACTTTATTCAAATTGAAACTCTAGGTAGAAAAATAAATGATGACAAGCATCCTAAAAAAGAAAAAAATAACACTTGCTTTTATATACTGGAGTGATGTCAAAGGTTTTATGGAAGAATTTTCCTTCGTTTTGACAGTTAAATCTGAGATAAGTCTTCTCGAAGAGTATGAAATGACAATTCTAATATGCAAGAATCTTTTTTTTATTACTCTTTTATTTTTGGCATTGTATCTCTCCACGCACCATCTATATCTTTATCCTCTCTGTCATTATATCGACTGGTTATTTTTTCTCACTTCTATGTAAAAAACAAACAAAAAACACAGACAAAAAAAAAATAAATAAAAATAAAAATCAAAGAACTGATGCCAAAGTCTTAGATTGTTCACATAGGTCTGAAAATTTGGCCCCAGCTATTCCAGTTGAACTCAAGAATGCATAGCAATTGGGTTTTATTTCTGTACATTTAAAGGGTTAAATGTCGATTTCAAAGAAGAATTTATTTACCCGCTTTTTTGTTAACCAGTTTTTTTTGGTTATTTTATATTGCATTTTAATTTTCAGTTTTAATTCTTTTTTACAAAATATTTTTATTTGGATTTTTCTTAACTCTGATGCAACAACTGCAAAATAAATATCGTATGAAATTTCTGTGAAAATTTTAGTTTTTATTATGTATTTTACAGGAATATTTATAGATTTTAGGGATTGAATCCTAATAAAAGGGAGGGTGCACAGTAATAATGGCACAGGTAAAAATGGCGCAGGTAGAAATGACACAAGTGGAAAAATAGGAAAAAATGGC